TTTTTGGCTCGATGCACGGTTGTAGACGATACACCCAGCTTATTTGCGGCATCTCGGAGAGAGAGGTTAGGGTTTCGCTTGAAACTACAGACAACTCTCTTTGTCGTCTCAGCGGCTTCCGGTTTCCGATCCAGACTTCCTGGCTGTCGACAAACGTTCCCCAAACACTTTAATTACATTTGTAACGGTTGATTTGGCAACTTTTAGCGATTTTGCCAACTTTGCGTGCGAGTAGCTCGGATTTTCGCGATGCGCGAGCAAAATTTTGATACGCTGCTCTTCTTGCTTGGACGACATTTTGACAACTGAAGAGTGAATTCAAAAATCAAAATAGGAGCAACATTCTACACACACACACCTTCAAAATGAGGGGTGTTCAGGTTTTTTAAATGCAAAATTGAAAGAAATACGTCAAGTTGATATTGACCAAATTTTGACCGTATCACCCTTTAATCATGGCAAGCCGTGGACATGAAAAAAACATCCATTAACATTGACTTGCAAAATCTTGAAGTTTGACCCCATTTAAATGGTTCCGGTATTGTCCCAAAACGGTTACTTCTCCCGGGGAACCCAGAACCTGCTGCAAGATGGCCATCGCAACTTGTGACGCTGAAAACGATTCTGGAGATATCGCGCTGAAAAATCATGAGAATCGATACCCATATTGACCTGATTCAAAAGATTAACATTGCTGGTCACTTTACTGGAACCGGAAATGGACAGATCTCGGTTATTTCTCAACAGATCTTGGATTTGTAGCCAGTATTGAATTCAGAATTGCTTCTAAATAATTTCCTAAGTTGTCCAGATTTTTCCACAACTTTAATGTATAGATTCCAAACTTATAATAAGAAAGCTATTTTTAAAATGCGTTCAAAATATGCTTTTTTTGGAAGATCAAAAACAACAGTAATCAACTCAAACATGGCAATTAGTTTTAAAGAAACAGCTTTATAATCAAATCCATTGAATGTTGAAGTTTAGCACTAACTTAATTTCTCATTTAAAAAAAAATTAAAGAAAATGTAAAAATATTCAATGTCTTGAAGTTTCGTATTCCAAGTACAAGTTCAAGATATGTAAAATTTTCAAAGTGTCTGAATTTAGGAAAACAAATACATTATTTATTTCAAGTTTTTAATTCACTTTATGGAAGATTAGAGATCTTCATTGCAGTCTCATTAACTTCACAAAAATTGTAAGAATTTTGGAGTAGTTCTGAGGATTGAAAAAAAAAATGCTGAGAATTTTGGTGAAGCTCCATAAATAAACTGCGGGAACATAAGGGAAGTTAACACGCTGAAAATATGGGGAACTTACTGGAAGCTTTAAGAACTTCAAAGTGGTTAATTTAGCATCCAAAAATTTCAGGAACTTTCATATAAGTTCCTAGAATATAAGTTCCTAGAACTTCATAGGTGTCAAGTGAACTTGAGAAATATAGAAAACTTGAGGGGTATTGTGTAAAATTTTAAGAAGTTCTAAGCACCTCAGAAAAGCTAGATCTAGAGATCTTTGTGGAATTAAGTTAAGTTAAGTTTTCTTTATTAGGGAGGCTGAAACGCCTCCGGCTCTTTTGGGAATGTTAGATCTTAAAAGCAGTTTCCGTAACTTTAGCCCAGACTTTTGGGGCAGTTTAAAGATCTATAATCGTAAATTTAGAAACATTCAGGATAGTTCCATGATGCGCTGAAAAAAAAATCGAGAACCCTTAAGATGTTCCGAAAATTTAATGAAGTACAGAGACCTTCAGAGAATTTATGGAAACTTCAAAAATATTTCAGGAACTTCACAGAAGTCCAGATAATTTCAGGGAAATTTGAAGGTGCTTACGGGAATTCCATTTATTTTCGAGCAGAACCGAGACCTTCAATAGAATTGAGAGCTTTAGGAAAGCACCGAAAACATCAAGACAGATCAGAGAATCAAAGAGAATTTCCGGAAACTTCTGCACAGCTCCGAGAGAATTTCCGAAAAGTGATAAAAATTATATGAACATCCGGAAACGACAACATTAGAGAAGTCACATAAAGTTTAAAGAAGTTTAGAGAACTTCAGTGAATTGTTAAATCTTTAGAGGAGATCCATGATTATTGAAAATTTAGGAAACTTTAGGAAGTCCTAAAAAGTTCAGGGAAGTTTAAGAATTTGATGAGAAGTATTGTTAGACTCAGGCTAGTTTTTGAAACTACAAAAGAACTTCAAGGCAGTTTCATTAACTTCACTAAAAAATTGGGAGCTTTCAAGTAGTTCTGAAAACCTCAGAATAGTCCATTTCTTATTCAACGGAGATTTCCAATGAAATATTCCTCAAAATGTTGGTAAATCTATCCTCCGAATTCAATTTTCTTTTAGTTTTCCTTGGAATTACCTTGAAATTCTCCACAAAAAGAAACCATTTGGAAATATTCTCCGAATATTCATTTAATTAATTTCAGCGTTCCTTTTCAATCTCACTCCTTCCCTTGGAGTTCTACTCACATTGAAAGTCTCATAAGAATTCATTGGCTTTCTCCTCAAAAATTCCTTAGATTTATTCTCATAATTTGTTTGGCAAACTCTCCTGAATTCATTTCCGAATTCCTTTGAAGATGTCCTGGAGTTATTCTCAAATTTAATTGTAATCCTCCTTTTGGTATTTTCAAAAACTTTCCAAGGATTTATGCTCCGGATTCGTTCTTTCCCACAAACTTTATGAAAATATGCTCAGAATGCCCTTGGAACCGGAGTTGTGCTCCTCAGAAACTTAGAGTTTTCATTAAAATTTACTCTTAGGTCACTTTTTAGTCACTATTTTCACAACTATAAGTCACTATTTGGTCACTTATTTCATCAACATGGTCACTAAAATCACTATTTTTAACAACAGTGATTGCTTCCAGCCGGGGCCGTCCATTAATTACGTAAGACTGTTTAAGTATTTTTCAACCCCCCTGATTTTTTTTCCAATCTGAGAAATAACAAAACAAATCATAAAAATAAGAAAATCCTAGACTCCCCTTCCCCTATAAACCTTTACATAATAAGTGAACGACCTCTTGCATGAATCAATTTGTTTTGAATCTGAACTTAACGCATGCCATTACATTCTCAGATAATCTTATAGTTAAATTTAAATCTGCTAGATTAAGATACTTCCCACCTTTTAGAAAATAAACACGAGTTTAGAATATGTATTAGTATCCTTGCACCATCACCAATACATAAGCTCAAATCGCTAAAGCGTACTAATATATACAAAGGGTGAATCCAATCTGATTTGCACCTTAACACCCTTGGGTCATTCGTCGTGACTTGTTCGGGATGAGATTTGAACTCGTGACTTTGACTTCGGCCTAATCGCCAGTTTTGGGCCTATCGAGCAGAAAACATCAAATATATCTATGATTGTCAGTCATCTGTAATAATAGCATTCCGTTTGGTGCTAAACTCTGCTAAATTAAGAAAGACTAAGTGCGGGTTGTGCTTGATAGGCCGGGAATGGTGGGGTTGTTAACCCTATGGATGTTAACACGACGCCTGGGCCGTCCCCCAATCATAGATATTTTAAAGTATAAATATAGGGGAAAGTGTGGCAAGACGGCCAAATGGGGATAGACGGCCACCCTGATGTATAGGCACAGACAAACAGACATAACTCTCGTAAGTTGTTCATCGAACAAGCATTTAACGGACAATTTAGAAGTATCGTAGTTGGTAGTACCGCCACCTGTGGCGCGCATAGTCAATTCCCTTGTGTTTGACATTTACACACCGTCGCCATCTGTTCAGTGTAGTGCCCACCACCGTGTACTCAACAGATGGCCGTAATGTTTTAGCGACGATGTTTTACAGTGAGAAATATTCAATGTGTTATGTCTGTTTGTCTGTGGTATAGGCATCAACTCGCTTTACAAAAATATTCTTGGTATACTGCCCTGTGCGGCAAAACAATCATTTTTGGCGTAAAATGAGCAATATTTTGGAATCGATTGTCAAGTACCATCACTTTACATTGCACACGAAAAGCTTCCTACTGTGTTCAGAAAATGTCGCGAAAAATACCAAAACTCTGTTGTCCCATCCATAAGAGTCCATAGAGGAAAAAATCAACAACAGCAATTTTCTCAACTTGCTATTTTAACGAATGTGATGCTGAAAACGGCAGTATAGGGGATGTTTAATAACTATGTAAAACACTAACAATCCCACAGAACACCTCAGGAACACAGGAAATGCCATCTTGCCCCACAAACCCCTATGTCGCACATGCTATTATGGGTCTTGATGAAGCTATTAGGGTTCAAAATTTGATCATAACGTAACTATAATAATTTGTTGAGTCTGTAGAAACTTCAAGATGATTTGGAGATCTTTAAATACTACGTTCCCTCCTTATCAGGTCTCTTGAATTAATAGGTGCTTGTTTCAACAAACAGAGGTAACATTTGAAGAAACAGTGGCTCGTCATTTAATAAAAATACTTTGAATTTAGGTGAATTCATAACTCCATGAGGTTTGTGATATCCAGGTCATTAACAAGTTCATGAAAATGCCATTTCAATTGAAATGTGTCCTTATGCTGGCACATATTGAAATGAACAATCAGTTCTTGAACATATTTTTAAGATTAAACGAATTTATATCATCAGCTGTGTTTGATTATATAAATTCATACCACATTAATTCCAAACTGTATAGCTAGCCATCATACATATTTGCATCCAGCAAAACTCACACTCGAAGTGGAAGCAAACACAAAGAGTCAATCATAGCCTTACAGAAAGGTGAAAGTGCAACATCAGAGGAAAGGAGTAAAAACAACAAAAGGTTCAATTTTCTCTGCACACTCAACACTATGCGCCTATAAGTGCATAGGTACTCTCATATGTACAGCGATGTCCATTAAATCACATTCCCTACTTCCCTCATCACGTGTACCTATGTACCGGCAGAGATCCGTCTCATCGCATGCATAATTATACCTACTCAAGCCTTTCGTCTTTCTCCTTCCACAGCTCGCTAAAAAGGGTCTCAATGTGGTGCTGGTCAGTCGAACCCTGTCCAAGTTGGAAGATGTCGCCAAGGAAATTGGTAAGCCACTTTTACATACTTCTTCTTCTTCTTCTTCTTCCTCAAATTCCCCGTTCCCCGTTAATGAGCTTAATATTCCGCGCAGAGTCCGAATCCAAAGTCCAGACCAAGGTCATCGCGGCCGATTTCACCGCCGGGCCGGAGATCTACGAAACCATCGCGAAGCAGACCACCGGCATGGAGATTGGCGTCCTGGTCAACAACGTCGGTATGAGCTACGCCAACCCGGAACGGTTCCTCGAGCTGCCCGAGCAGGAAAAACTCATCAGCGGTCTGATCACGTGTAACATCTTCTCCGTCACGCGGATGTGCAACCTTTTCCTGCCGGCCATGGTCGAACGTAGGAAGGGTGTCATCATCAACATCTCGTCCCTGTCGGCGGTCATCCCGGCTCCTATGCTGACGGTCTACGCCGCTTCCAAGGCATTTGTGGACAAGTTCAGCGACGATCTGGCCACGGAATACGCCAAACATGGTGTGCTGGTGCAGTCGGTTCTGCCCGGACCGGTCGCCACCAACATGTCCAAGATTCGCCGGGCCACGTGGATGGCCTGCTCGCCGAAGACGTTCGTTTCCAATGCCCTCAGCACGCTGGGCATCTCGAGTCACACGACCGGATACTATCCGCATTCGCTACTGCAACTGAGCATAGACATGCTGGGACTGATCTCGCCGAGCGTTTCCCGTAAGATTACCCTGAAGACGATGGAGAATATCCGCGCCAGGGCTGCCAAGCGGGCAGTCAACAAGCAGGAAGCTAGCAAGTAGAGAAGCTCTGCAGAATGCATTGCATGATGATTACAGGTAGAAGTGCATTTTCGATTTTCTTCTTTCTCGAGCTCACTTATTTTCGCTTTCTTTTGCCTAGTATGCTTAAGTAGAGGATTCAAATGAACTGGATTCTTAACGTGTCTTTAACCTACAGACACCCACTCGTCTGGTCATTTATTTGAGACTTCATAATTATGTAGCGCCGGGTTGACGCAGAACGAACTGTGGCATTTGTTAATTTGTATAGAGGAGATAATTGATGGAATTCCTAATGGCAATGATTAAAAATACAAAGTGTAGACATAAGATACAATTACCAAGAAGGGTGCGTGCAGCGTTTTGATGTTCTAAAACCTTCCGAATGCATTTGGTTCGTCTCTTTCGTGCTGTAGTATGACGATGACGTTTGGAGTTATTGCGTGGAATTCATCGTCTCACGAATTCAACAACATCTTTGCTCGGGTGTCCTACGAACGGCTGAAATCAGAAAAGGCTGAATTGATAAGACGTAATTAGGGCTGGTAGCGAGTCACTTTTTAGTGACTTGGTCACTTTTTTTTAAGAAAGTCACCTCCTATTTTAAGGCCGGCCAAGTCACTAAAGTAACTTCTTCTTCTTTCTTGATTTGTTTTCCGTTGATCTTGTTTTCCGTGCTGAGCACCAATGCTACCGACGCCAGGGAGGCAGCTTCCACACCTGGACCCTACATATCGACCCATCAACTCATGACCGGTGACCAACGGGTTTACTTCCCTTCCGGAAGGCGTGATCAGAGATGTTATGCCTCGAAACATTCCGGCGGCGCCGACTGGGATTGAAAAAAAATCTTTAAAATTATACATAGTCCGAATATCGGTGGAATATTCGTTCTGTGTATACATACCACTGATTTAGATTTTGACAGTTTGTTTTGATTGATTCAATCAGGGAGATACTCTGCGTACTGATGTGTCAGCGTTCTAGTTTCGTGGGCGATAAAGGACTCAATCTGGAACTAGCAGCCTGTGGCGCAAAGATTAGATCCGACCGAAGATCCGACGAAGTTGATGCTATACACGCTATTCTGGGGCTACTCATTTTTGAGTTGAAAATCAATCAGTTCGGCCAAAAAGGAAGTTACCCAGCAATGGGTAAGCCTGCATTTACTCAAATCTGAGTAAACGTGTTTGGAGTGGAAACTGGGTAGAGCTTGCTCAGATTTTGACGTTTGCTCATTTTTTTATTAAATACTCAAAAATGCTTACAAATAGTTTTCTTTTAAGATGCATATGGATAAAAATTGATACAATCAATCAACATGTACATTGGATAAATTAAATATTTAAAAGGTTAACTGCTTACTCCTTCATCGATGCCTTATAAGACTTGAAGTAAACCAATATCGATGAATGAGTCGCTGGCATGGTAGGAGGTCAAAAACTGCACTAGATTTCTGAAAAATTATGAATTTAGAGGAAGTATAATCACCGACAAACCGACGTGACAGCAACCATATTTAAAATACGTTAAACACTACCGACATCTACTCATCCAATCACGTCATACCATGAGCAAGGACACGAACCCACGTATAATTTATATTGCCTTGATTTGCGTCTTACCTCATTTGACAGATCTGATCGCCCGTTTGAAAGTTCGAATAGCTCGTTAGACAATTCGAATTGAAGACAAACGAAATGCTCCTGCGGCATGTCGGTTCGTCGGTGGTATAATGTTAGAAAAGTTGGATTGTACTTACCAACAAGCTGATGTCATGTGTCATTTCATAGAAATTATCGATACTTTTTCGTAACACATTAATAACTGTAAGCTCAACGGCAGACTGTTAGCTGCACAAACTTCTGGCTATCGTACACTCGAAAGATTTTCAAATCTAAATAGATTAAAAGTTACGCTACGCTACGATTGCAACTCTCCTGAACGACGGGAGAGAAAACTGACATAGTATAAAAATGATGTATAAAGGGGATTTATTTTAAAAATAAAATTTTGATGAACTAGCCTGTGACATTATACATATTTATTAATTTGGAAAATAATAACAAGGTTCCACAATTGAATTTATATTCAATTTAAATAGGATCAAAAAGGTGACTGATGTGGAGAAAATTGTAACGGCTGATTAACTTGGTGAATAATGAGCCTCCAAAAACATGGCTGTGGTTCCCCTGAGGAATTTTGTTCTAATCTCGATCTTCGTCAGTTGCCTTGAATCCTCGCACATGCTGAAACAATTAACCATGATACGAACCGGATAGTGCTACCGGATGATTGCATTCAGGTGCATCAACTCAAACACACCTTGCTACTTCCGAAAATCGTGCATCAAACGGGGCCTTCCAGTTGAAAAAAATCTTTTCCATGATCCATGTTGTGCAGCTCAGATAGAATAAGAAATAAGAACAACCCTTTCACTTGCATGGGCACGGTAGGATAATCGATGAACAGTTGTAAAAACGTTGGCATCTGGTTCCTTGATCGGCGACGAAACAATTTTGGCCACCGATGCGCCCATGTTTTGGCCAGAAGCTTGATATTTTATTATTCTGAGATTCACTTTGTTGCTGCTGCTTGACTTGTGATTTTTTTTTTTTTTTCATTTCCACCAAATTCTCCGCCGTTATCAATTGAATCGGATCAATGCGATCAATGTATAAATATTTCCTAACCATTAAATGCTCAAAAATTAAACTTTCTTCGTTTTGTAATAATGTAGCGGGTAGCGAATGTTGAATATGTGTAGATAATGAATAACAACTTCAATTTGAGGTGAGTTTCTATTAGGAATACACATCATCCTAAATTGCTGCAACCCCATGCCCACTGCTGAATCCAAACGACTCGCCAAACGGTTCACACTCAGCAGCAATGATCACATGGAAACGCGATAGGCATACGAAGTTTAGCCTCTCGCGGCCATCTTGAAAACCATAATAATGATGCAGATTTAAAAATGTGGCACGGCGAGGTATCGGAGTAAAGTCTTAAAATGCTTCTATTTCTCAAACAAAATTTTTAATATTTTTTTCAATGATTCTCCCGGTGATAAAAACTCAAGGGCTACTCGATAGACATATTGTACCAAATATTAACATTTTTTTTTTAATATTATTTGAAAGTGGTTACACGATAGGCTAATAATAACTTTTTATCATCCATGTAGCAACAATCAAATTAATTAAAAGTACCTAATTCGAAAAATCTAAGTATTTTAAAACTTCTCTCCCATATCTCACCGTGCAAAATTTTGAAAACAGCATTATAATAGTGCTTTTCGAGATAACCGCGAGAGGCCAAGTTATAAAGGTCTATAATCAATGATCATATGCGAAACACTCGAAAACAGAAACACCGTTCCTCCATGGTTCTAAGCTGTTCTAAGTAGTAATCTTATTCATGGAAGCGGTCTTCTTCTTCTTCTCTTTCCTTTATTTAACGTCGGTCTCTGTTCCGCAATCTAGTGCCAATCACCGACGGACATCGATTGCCATCCATTGACGGCAATCGAATGTGCAGGAAGGCAGCTTCCACACCTGCGTAGGATATCGCACCCATTCAACACACATGGGCCGGGACCAACGGCTTTACTTCCCTTCCGAAGGAAGACGTGACCAGAGATTTTTATGCCTCAGAAAAATCCCACCGACCTCGGCTGGGATTGAAGCAGTCACACTTACCACTACACCACCGGCGCCGGCTGGAAGCGGCCATAAGGCTGTCCACGAGACAGTTGCGATCAGCTCACTTTTTTGTTTACCAAGAACTTTTGACAGATCACAGTAGAACTGGCAGTTTATACTTATATGAATTTCTGCTTTGTTTCTGTTTACATTCAGCACCATAAACGCCACATCACTCACACACTCTAGATTCCTAGCTGTCAGTTGCACCACAAACGAAGTGACAGACGGAGCGGCTCGAACCGCATTATTTTAATGGATTTCTTCGCCAGTTAGTCGTCTGTCACTTCATTTGTGATACTACTACACGGAGAACAAATTATAGCAGACACAATTATTTTTCCGGTCAAAATAACTATATTGTTCAATTGTTTTAGAGATAACCCGAAACTATAGTTGATTTGACTGTATATAGAGGGCAACAACTATAGTCCATAGTTGGCTCCTCGGTTGGCTCAACTATATTTTTCAGTAGATGAACAAACGTCAAACTCCAAAATACAACTATGCTTTAGTTGATTCTAGAAAACTATTGTTAGGAAAGCAACATTTTACAATGTTTATTACACGCTAACTTGAAAGTACCCATTAATGGTTGAAAAAGACCCATTTTGAAGAAAAGTGGCTTAACTCATTAAATGAGTAAAATTTTTACCCATTAATGAGTATCTGTTACCCATTAATGAGTAATTGTTAATCATTAATGGGTAACAGATACTCATTAATGGGTAAAATTCTTTAATCATTAATGAGTTAAGCCACTTTTCTTCAAAATGAGTCTTTTTTTACTCATTAATGAGTACTTTCAAGTTAGCGTGTAAACGAACTGCTCTTCATTATCGACATGTCAAGGAAGTTTGTTTTGCTTCTTTATCGATCTCAAAAACACAACTGCAAAATCATAAAAAAAAGTGACCAAGAACATTCAACTTAGATTTGAACCGTGTTCATCTGCGTGAGAGCCAGCTATCATATCGCCTGCTCTACGCATCACAAGTTAAAAGTGTGTGGATTTATGATGATCACTTGAAACCAAAGTATATAAATTACATTTGGCGGTTGTTATAATTGATCAAAGTTATAGTTGAATTGAGTATAAGATGAACAGTTGAATCTATTAGGTAGATATGATTGAGTTGACGGTCGAATTAATGTTGAAATAACTATAGGTTTCTTTCAAACAACAATATTTTTCCATGTGAAAGTAACTATTAGGATTGTTATCTTAACTTAACGAATTTGTTCTCCGTGTATATACATACTACTGCTTTCCAACATCGGTCTCATCATATGACGAAGGTTGCACAGAAAAAAATGTTGTTGAATATTACATCCAAACTGCTGCAACCAGGTCAATCCATCGGTTGTGTAATATAACGTTGTACGATGTACATCGATTTTGCGAACAAAATTACATCCATTGATGTAATATTGTATCTGCTTTTTGCTATTACATCATTATTTCGTACATCAGCTTGAATTACATTGATCGATATTACATTTTTTTTTGCTGTGTGGTATCTATCCATTGTAAAGTGATGCAACCAGATTTACAGCTCATCACATCCGTCCCGCTTTCGCATCTGCTTCCAGCTGACATCGAAAAACTGCACGAAAGCCGGTTTGCGGCAACTGCACGAAAACCCGCAGACGGGCGGATACCTCCTTTTTCCTCCTGTACGCCATTTTGCTCGAACTACAGTCACTCGTTTTCACTTTAAAAATCCGCTACGTTACAATAAAACAAGCCTAAATAATGTTATCACTCAGCTCTTCTACCACTTGGGATCAATTTAGACCGCTTTCACTGATTTTTTTTTTCCAATAACTTCACAAAGAAACGCTAGTTTTAAAATTCACAGATGTGATTTCCCTACTTCTCACGGCAGTGCTGCCTGAGTGACATTTAAAAACAAAATAAAGTCTTAAACTTAACAGATGAGTAGAAATATATCTGACCGATTGGTGATAAAATTATTGAAATTGTTCGAGAGGCAGCTGAGTTATTAACGTACAAAATCTTTCATAATTTTGTTACATGTTCCATTTTTGGTTTCCACAAAGCGTACCCCCATATAGAAATCTTCAAAAAGTTATTGCATGCGTTCAGTTACTTGAATTTCAACTGAAAGATGGGCGATGATGGGCGCCCACTGGTGTGGCGGTGATGTGGAATCATGCAACATGTCAAAACATAATGTCGAAGTCGTGTGGTGTGTGGTACGCGTTGACATGATGTTTTAACATGCTAGCAGATGCCACACCTCTGCCACAACAGTGGACTCCTGGCATAAGTTAAAAATCGTTCTGTCCTAGCCCTGTTAGGAAGTATCCATTAAGTACGTCACGCTCTAAGCGGGAGAGGGGGGTTCACAGATATGCGACTGGCAATGCAATAGGAGGTATAGGAAAAACGTGAGAGGGGGGTTGATTTACCCTACATTTTGACGTACTTAATGCATACTCCCTTATACGTGCTCACCCGACGCTTGTGCGCCAAAATGTTGCAAACATGCGTGTCGGCTACCAACTTGCACACTGCTGGCGCGCCGTTTAACTGAAAATTTTGCTCCGTACACAGAAATTCAAAACAACCTAAAATTAAGTTCTTTTCACTCATCTCCCATGTTCCGTACGATAAGCCAAATTTGGGTAAACCGGCTCAAAGTAGTTTGCATTTAAGCACGGCAAAAAAAATTACCCATCGCTAAGTTATTTTCAATTTTTTCTACCCAAAATTAAGTTCAATTAACTCAAATTTGAGTATATCGCATATTACTCAATTTTGGCTTCTCGTACGGAACTAGACGGTTGAGTCGAATCTTTCGTTCTATTTTTGACAACAATAGCGATACACAGCAAAAAAAGTTGTTGAATATTACATCGAAACTGCTGCAACCAGGTCAATCCATCGGTTGTGTAATATCACATTGTACGATGTACATCGATTTTGCGAACAAAATTACATCCATTGATGTAATATTGTATCTGCTTTTTGCTATTACATCATTATTTCATACATCAGCTTGAATTACGTTGATCGATATTACATTTTTTGTTGCTGTGTAGGAAATGAAACGGGCAGAGGTCAAATAACTCAAATTTGAGTTTAAAAAACCCAAGCGGTGGGTAGTTTTGTTTTTCTGTGTACACAATCCCGTGTCCAAACATCTGCGCATACACTTGCGAACCAAGCTCAACATGGTACATGTTTTCGTGAAGACGACACCACAAACTAGAGCAATTTCACAAACACCTAAATATCAAATTATGTTATTACAGGAGCAAAATCTTCGTTGTGTGTGATCAAAACAAAGAACTTCCGACGAATCATCGTCGCTCGCTCCACTACCACTACACTCATACGGCTTGGTATTGGTGCGAGTCAAAACCATCAAATCGAAATCAGCAAATGCGATGCAAGGAAGTCAGCTGAAAAGCTAAGGTATACGTTTTTCGAATCAATAATCATTATTCACCGAGTTGCAGCTGAGGTAAGTACGATTTTCTTTGTGCTCCTCGTTTATTCAAATTGTTCAATTTAAAGTTGAATCAGTAAATAGTGAACTTTCTCGGCAAGTGTTTCAACAGTAATTCTGTGATCGAACATTCGAGTGAAAAGTGGCTTATGAAACTCTACTGCGCACAAAACATGAAAATTGTGGTGACTCATCACCGGTGTTTAATACGTTTCGATTAAAACTGTTTTCAAAATCAGCATTTGGGTGTATATTCTGAGGCAATCAAAACAAAAAAATTCTCATCTTCCACCAAATGAACAAAGAAAAAAAAAATTAATAATCAATGTTTACATTGACCCGCATGTAGAAGTGCATTGCTGGAAAACAGCTGAACTCGATCTGGGAGAATTCCGCAGCAATGATTGACCTTATTTACTTTTGGTATGATGGCCTCCATTACAGCATTGAGGCAGAGTGTTTATCACTTGCAATAAGTAAACATATAAACACGACTGATTAACGCTGCTTCCCATTCCCAACAACAACGAGAAGGACAAAATGGAATAAAATGGAAAGTTGTGACGTGTTGGCTTTTTTTTTCGCACCTTCATAAGAGGTAATAATAACTACGCTGTGAGCGAGTGGAGGCTGAAAAATAATGTTAGGTTCGTTGACAGTGACGGTAGATGAATGTGACGAATTTTAAGTGAAACTTTCAAATTATGCATAACAAAACTTTCTTCTATATGAAAACAAATGCTTTAGATAAATTTATAAATAACCGAATACTACATGTTAGTAAGCCAGAACATGTTTACCCAGAATTCAAAATCAATGCTGGTTCAAATCGTTAAATTTGTCATTTTTGTGTTTCGATGAAAGCTACACAAAAACAAATGCCTACTAGTGATTTGAAAATAATGAGTGCAGATAACTACACTTGGCGGTCGGCGTACGATAGGCTTGATATACACCAAATTTGAGATATCAATGCACAGTGGTCCAGAATGCAGATTTAGGTGGAATGATATGTTTTGAGCCTGAAATTGAAACTTTAGACTAAAAGTCTCCTGTACAAAGTTGTTCCTTATAGCTAAGTCCTCATTTTTATGACAATGAATTCTAGGGTGGTTCTTATTATCATTAAAATAGAAAAACCTAACTTTTTTGTTTGAATCAATTAAGTTATACATTCTTCGGCAAAGTTATAGCTGAGCTAATTTCAAGCAACTTTCTTTATAAACTTATTTGTATCTCTTAAATTGACCGATTTAGAGCTATTTCCTTGAATTGAATCAGGGTGTCTCTAAAAAAACAGTTGTTTGCTCTGTTTTTCTTATTTCAAATTTCTCAGCAAAGGTGTCTTCAAATAACTTTTAGATCTTTAGAAGGCGTAAATTTTTGCTGCACAAAGCTGTCAATGTATCGCCGATCAAGAGTTTGACGTTTTTCTACTAGAATATGCCCTTTCCCTTTTCAAATGTTTATATCTCAGGTTGGGGCAAACAAAAAAAATATTTTTACGGAAAAAGTTATTGGCAAAGATGGTTTTCATAGAACCACTCTAATGACAAATTTACATAAATGTGCTAGTACATTTGTTTCAATATTTCGACATTTAGTGTTGTCGGAGAAGTTTTTGTGCTTAAAAATTTCCTTCTTTGGTGTTTGCAAACGTCAGGGTGGTCGGAGGGGCACGCAATACAAAGAACCGGTGGGTTGAAGTTAAAATGCAATCAAAAGTACTCACAGTAATTAATGCCTTTTGCAGGGCTGGTAGCAGGTCACTTTTTAGTGACTTGGTCACTTTTTTGAAGCCAGTCACTAAAAAGTCACTTTTTACACCTAAAAGTCACTATTTCCCTAAAAATAGTCACTAAAGTCACTTTTTCGCAACATGTTTAAATTGAGTACTTGGCACTAAGAAAGTCTACAGTAGTTTTAACAAAATATAAACATCTGTTAAAAAATTGAAAATTTTAACCAGGGTGACCAGTGAACCGCAAAACGTAAGAACACCAGGAAAACTATTGGGAAATGCCTTCAATTTCGATTTAAAAGAGAATTTTAAAGGATTCCAGGGCATACACCAAGATATATCAGAGAAAAATACCAAAGTACAGACTACGAAAGTCTCATGTAAAATTAACTGTTCTGAGGACCGATTTCTTCATATCCGCTTAAATCTTAAACCAGGTTTACCTATATAGTAAAACTTGGCTTAACACATACGGGCGTCGCTTTTGATTACTGTTTAAATTAATAGAGACTCAACATTCAGCTCCGAAACAATTTTGGAAATAATTCTAATGTAATTGAGAGTGCATTTTAACGAGAGTTCTGAGAAGAATTCTATGATAATTGGATGAGGATTCTAGGTCTAATTATAATAAGAATTCAAAATTAGTTCTGAAATGGCTCTGATGAAAATTCCATGAAAATCCCGTGAACTCCAAAGATGGTCTCTGCGGATAGTTCTAAAAGAATTCTGGGGTGATTTCTGACGATACTTTCAAGAGAATTCTAAAGAGTTCGAAATAAATTCCGAGAAGAATTCAAATGGAATCGAATTTTGAGGAAGGAATTCTGAGAAGAGTTTCAAAGTTTGTGATAGATTTTTGTTTTGAAAATTCTGAGGAAATACTATGGGAAATCTAAGGAGAATATGAATTGAATTTCCAATTGAATGCAAGGGAGAAGTCCAAGATTATTCAAAGCAGAAATTTATGAAATTTCTGGGGTTAATTGCATGGAAATTCTAAGGATGAATTTATGGAAGGATCCTTCAGGGAGTTTCTAGAAGAATCAATAAAAAATCGAAAATAATCTACTTTAACTAATCATCTGTTATTACTTCATGCGTTAATTTAACGATTTACATAGTCGGAGATGCTTAACGTCAAATATCAGACTTCAAATGGAGATTTTATACGACCGAGGAGGAGATTCAATTATAGAGTTGATAGTTCCGTTATAGTACGGCAGTGTGAAAATTGTTTATCAAAGTAGAAAGCGAGCGAAGGACAATTTTGAGGAAGGTACGAATCGGGTAGTTGTTTACGTCAGATGGCGACTTGAGCGTGAAACAATCAATAAACTGTTTCCGCACATCAGAGGTACATGAGCAAATCGGTGATCATCCCTTTTGCCAGTTGTGGCAGGGGGAAACACCCCTCACCATCCCTCATTAATGGATGAGCTTGGTAAAGGAGATGCTCTACCCTATTCGTACCTTCCTCAAAATTATCCTTTGTTCGCTTTCTACTTTCTATATACAAATTTTACACTGCCATTACACTGGAACTATCAACTCTTTACTTTCATCTCCTCATCTATCGTATAAAATGTCCACTTTAGTTAGTAAAAGCTTATTTGCTTCTAAGTTTAAGAGAAGGGGAATTATTCTAAAAAAGTTCTTGAGATCATTCTGAAGAAATTCTGTGAAAATTTCATAGCAAAATATCAAAGTTATCTACCTATATATATCAACTATTTAGAGATTTCGAACGCAGAATCAAATTCAAGATCATAAAAATGGGAATTACTATTTGCTAGTCATCATGTATAACGCAAGCAAAAGTAAATTATTCAAATCACTTCAAATGCTCTTCACAGGGGTTTCCGTTGTGAGATTCGATTAAGTTAGAGGAATTTATGAAATTTGATACTGAGTTCCATGACATAAAAAGTTTATTTCGATATCAAACCGTATTTGAATTTCTATGTTACCATATAAATGGTTACTTATTTAGTATTTACAAGTCACTATTTGGTCACTATTTCCGTAATTTTAGTCACTAAAGTCACTACTATTATATCGCATCAGCGCTACCAGCCCTGCTTTTGAAGTAGTACTGACGGTAAATACAATTATCTATCCAATTAATGAAAATATAATTCATGTACAATTACGAAATTTCAATTGTAATTAGTGGAGTTAAAAAGTAATGAAGTAATGAAATTGGGTTGTTAGCGGAATGCTAAATAAAACAGCAAAAGAAAGGTTATCTTCCATTTAATTCCACTTAATTTTGGTATCCATGACAGATACGTATTTCGACTACAATGTGCAGTCTTCATCAGTGTCATTCCCACTAAAGAGCTTACCAAAATCTAACCCCCTTATAGATTTTTCTCCTTTAGCTTACTTAAAACTTTGGTTTTTATTAGTTAGGTAGGTTCCGATTCAACACATTGTAGTTTCATTTTTATACCTATGATCTTGACTTTTTACCTAGGGGATGAGTACTTAAGGGGGTTAGATTTTGGTAAGTTCTTTAGTGGGAATGACACTGATGAAGACTGCACATTGTAGTCGAAATACGTATCTGTCATGGATACCAAAATTAAGTGGAATTAAATGGAAGATAACCTTTTTTTGCTGTTTTGTTAAAAAGTAGTTTTTCGGAGTTGACTGGAAAAAAAATTGTTTTTTAGCACTAACTTTTTAATTTCAAATTTCTCATGAAAGCCAGAATTTTAAAACGAATGTTTTATAGTGAAATTTGTTCTCTGTATCTCTTCCAATAAATAAATAAATATATATACCCATGTATAGTAAAATATATGAATACATTCAAATTGATTTTATACGAGTTTAAAAAAAAATAACATACCTCCCATTTTCCATAATATTGAGAATAACATACGCCCTTTCAAATGCCGTAAAAACTTTTTTTTATTGCCACAACCAGAGATATTAACATTGGAAAAGGGCATATTTTTAGTAGAAAAACGTCAATAACTCGTGATCGGCAAAAGATATTGACAAGTTTTGTGCAGCAAAAATGTGCGCCTTCTAAAGATCTAAAAGTTATTTGAAGACATCTTTGCTGAGAAATTTTAAATAAGAAAACTAGAGCAAAACAACTTTTATTTTAGAGACACCCTAACTCAATTTAAGAAAATAGCTCTAAATCGCTCTAAATAAAAGTTGCTTGAATATGCTTAGATATAACTTTGTCGAAGAATGTACATCTTAATTTATTCAAACAAAAAAGTTAGATTTTTGATTTTAATGATAATAAGGACCACCCTAGAATTCATTGTCATAAAAATGGGAACCTAACTATAAGGAACAACTTTGTAGAAGAGACTTTTAGTCTAAAGTTTCAATTTCAGGCTCAAAACACATCATTCCACCCAGTGTTGGAAAAATATCAAAAAATCAAATCTCACCAATGCCCAAGATCACGCTGGATTTTCGTGGACAAAAATCAACAAGCAAACAGCTGCGGTTGATTTTGCAAGCTGTGATATCGCAGCTTGGAATATCAAGCTAACAAAACTCATTAGCTGCAAATCTCACCAAACTGATTTTTGCTTTACACTTGAACACAACCGAAGCTTCCATAACGGGCTGGCAGCAGTCTCTTCGTGTCTGCTATCCGTGAAGAGTAAAAAGAGATAGCAAACTATACTTTCTCTTTCTAAGAAAACGATGTGAAACGGAATCATTTTTGTGTCGAGTCAGCTCTCAGCTTGATTTTTGGACGTTGTGAATAGTCTCGCAATATCAAAGGAGCTTGTAAAATCAAAATCAAGCATGATATTTTGTTCCAATATCACGCGTGATATTGAGAGCGTATGAGAGCGGAAAAATATTATTTGATTGATGATTTTGCCAACACTGATTCCACTTAAATCTGCATTCTGGACCACTGTGCACTCGAAGAAACATGGTTGCCAGTGAAATTGCCAAAAGATCCCTCAAAAACCGTGCTGCTGTTTTGACAGAAATTTTTCCTTGCGCATCTCTATCAACGACTCTGGTTTGGCTCACATTTTGACAGTTCTCGCTGCTCGATTGGCTAAAGATGGCCGCTTCCGCGAATCTCTATACACGGCGAATGAGAACGACCCAAATTTGAGTTTAGTTCACTCATAATTGCCAAAAGTGCAGGAACTCAGCGATGAGTAAATATGTCTCATGGTTTCCTGTGGAAAACCTAAAAAATCTGCCAGAAAATGAGGAAATTGACGAAAATTTTATTCAGTCTCGGAGAAGTACCAATAGACTGCCCTAATAAAAAATGTATGGTTAATTTGCTTAACGACGTGTTCTGGGTATCATCCAAACCATTTGTGGAATAGTTCAATGATTTGGGTTATCGTTCGTTTATGGTTATTTTTTATTAGGGTGAGTGAATCCAATCTTTACTTTTCTCAAATTCGGGAATTTTTCTCTGGAAAATCCTGGAAAAACCTGGGAAAACATGAGACATGATCGCTGAGTTCCTACACTTTTGGCGATTATGAGTGACGTAAACTCAAATTTGGGTCGTTCTCATTCGCCGTGTATATAGGATTACTAGTTGCAACTAGAAACACTGGAATAAGAGACCAGCGGAGAAAAAAAACATGAATTTGGCAACAAGATAAACATCAAAGCAATCCTGGCATTACTTGCATTTGTAACTGATTGCGAGTGACTTCGCCAATGCACCGACGAGCGAGTTCATGAGTGATTGTTAAACGATGTTAATACTCCTCCCTAATTGAAGCAAACCATTTGTAAACACCGCTTTTGACAGTTCGATTGGAATCATAACAGTGTCTCCGTTGGTCTCTTATTCCAGTGTTTCTAGTTGCAACTATGTTTTGTTATGATCAATTGAGCTGAAATTTTGACACAGAACTACAAACCTGCTGAATTTTGCGTGTACGTAATATCAAATTATTGGAAGCGCTTGCCGGAAATTGACGGACTAGTTGAAAATGGCAAACTAATACGCCACCAACGTAGAGTGCGCCACGCGAGTTCGAGAAAAAACGTCAACCAAACCGTTTGTTTACATCAGAATAAGTATTTTCCCCAACGCAAATAACAGCATTTTTCATTCAAAATCTTGCTAATTTCCATCGGTCATTGTCTTATTGTACGATTTTCCACAAATCTGAACTGATTTGCACCTTAACAAGTACACACAAGAAATCCGGAAGATTATAACCACTAAGGCACTTTTCTAATTTTCAATTTTTCTCAACAAAAATGTTCCACAACATCAGCAGGATCTTTGCAAAACCGATACAGAATTAACTTTTTCAACTGTAGATTTAGTGAAAAAGTGTTCCACTTCCTAGTCTCAAGGCAAAAATTTATGCTCACAACACTCTTTTTGACGTTCTCCTATTCACCACCAGAGGTTGAATCGATCGTTTAGTTTCTATTAAAAAGGCCTATTAACACATTATAATTCGAAATTTCCGAAGTGTACCAGTGTGAACTGGTTCCAACTTCGGTAATAAACGAATTTGCGATAAGTTATCATTTTGAGGGTGAGCCCCCAGGTTTTATGATAAAACGCTATTTTGGGAAACCCTAATGCTAGGTGCATTAAGAAAAAAATCATCAATTCGGCAGTGAGCATGCATAAGGGCGTAAACGCGATGATCGATTCTCTTCGTCGATTTTCTCTTTTGTTAATAACTCGCTAGAATTTGCGTTTCTCGGTGCGTCTGCTGTTGCTTTTGATAGCCAATGCAAAGTGAAAATCGATGAAGAGAATGCTCACTGTCGAACTATTTCGACAAGATGTCTTCACATGCCGTCACCGCTACAATACCCGCTCGATTTTGGCAACATGCAAAAAAATTAGGTCAATCCGGTTTTTATTTTTTACTTCGTTCGATTTCGGCACGCTTTTGTGCTTTTGTTGCCAAAATTGAACGGGTACTGTACTTTTAAAAATATCGGCCGGAGGTGTTCATGTTCAATATTTCAGATTTATAAAACAGTCTACTCAGAAGTTCAGGGGCCTTCTTAGAAGTCAAAAGCAGTTCGTCAGTTTTCAAGTTCCAATGTGAAGTAATGAAATTGGTTTGTTAGCGGAATGCTAAATAAAACAGCAAAAAAGGTTATCTTCCATTTCATTTTGAAATCTGGAAGTGTGTTTGCAGTACCATTATTCATATGATAACGGTAGTGTTTACATGCGGGGCTTATTGTATGTGAAAGTAACCTCGGAATGGACGTGAATTACCAGGCATTCTGAAATGGGTTGCTGAATCTGCAGTAGAGCTATCGCTTTCTAACTCCCGGACTAAACTTGCTTTAAATTATTACATCAAGGATTGTTGTAAGCAAATTTCTTCCATAATACCACTGCCGGCCAGTGGGGGTTAGATTGAATACACACATACACACACACAAAAAAAAGGTTATCTTCCATTTAATTCCACTTAATTATTTTGGTGTCCATGACTAAACCCCCTTAAGTACTCATCTTGGGGATTTTCCTTAGGGAACATGCATAAATGACGTAGCATTTGAGGGGGGAGGTGGGGGTTTCAGAACTTGTGACCGGCCATGTATTGGATATAGCCAAATACGCTACGAGGGGGGGAGGAGGGGTCTAAAATTGATCAAAAATATGCTACGTCATTTATGGATGCTCCCTTATTAGAGAGTTGAATAGATTTTTCTCCTTTAGTTTACTTAAATCTTTGGTTTTTATTAGTTAGGTAGGTTCCGATTCAACACATTGTACTTTCATTTTTATACCTGTGATCTTGACTTTTTTAGCTAGGGATGAGTACTTAAGGGGGTTAGATTTTGATAAGTTCTTTTGTGGGAATGACACTGATGACGACTGCACATTGTAGTCGAAATACGTATCTGTCATGGATACCAAAATTAATTAAGTGGAATAAATGGAAGATAACCTTTTTTGCTGTTTTATTAAGTTCCAATGGTTTTCAACATTTCGAAAGTTTTAAATTTTCATAAACTTTTTTTTGAAAAAAAAAATCAAAAATCGGGCAAGAATATTTTGAAATATTTGGGATTTTAACATTTTTACTAAAAGTAAATTTAAAAAAAAGCATTACAACATAAAGACATTATTTTTCTCTACAACGTCTCTCAGACGTCATTACGATCAGAAATGCCGTTTACATGCCACAAGTTTTTTTTTTAATGTCAAGGACACCATTTTGAAAATTTTACTAAATCCAAAATGGCCGATTTTTAGCAAAAATGTGAAATATTGCTCATAACAAACAAATACGTAAAGTTTCATACAAATCTGGAGAAGGTCGATTCATAAATTCATTTTTTTTTGCAATGTTACTGTTTATCACCTTGAAAACTGCTTATCCATTCGAGATTTTTTAAGAATTTGCCTCCATTCGGTTACCCATCGGAATTTATTTTAAAATTCGCAACGAAATCCTCTTCAGAACGCTCCAACTGGAGGTCACAGCACTTGGATTTTAGTATACCTACGCGTGCCAAGGGAAAAGTCATTAAGTAAGATAATCCTTAACAGACGTAAAATACTTGATAGTGACGAAAAGTTCCCGGCGGCGTGCGACTTGCAGCATAGAACCACAGACAAACAGACGTAACTCTTCATTGTGTATCTTCGTTCATGCATTTAACGGTTGAGTTGAATATTATCAGTTCCGCGAACTACTCGCCGCAGCGCTGGCATCGGATCACTTTGACGTTTCTATACATTCTATAGAACTTTTATGCAATATTGTTTACGAGTTAGTGAGCAAGCTTGTTTTCCGCGAGAAGCCAGAGAGATGTCGTTACTGAGGTTATATGTTTCGAGATACTATGTTTTCAAGAACAAGTTTTTCAAAGAGTTACGTCTGTTTGTCTGTGATAGAACGCTGCATTAGTAGTAAACATATTGACCTGCGCCTTATCAGCAACCAGATTGTTTTCGTTCTTTATTTCCGATGGAATTCTGCCAACATACGCGCGTGGCGCAAGCATCATCGTCATACAGTTTCCCTTCGCAAACAATAATCAATTCTGACCTGACCCACATTGATTTATTTCTTCTTTCGTCACCTTCCAGAATTAAAACAAAGAGAAACAATGAAGCAATATCTGCTCGCGGTAGCAGCCGTGGCACTACTGCTCGCCACCGATCATGCCCAAGCCCAGAGGCAGCGCTTACATCCGCTGTCGGAAAAGTTCATCGAACAGATCAACAGCAAGGCGACGACCTGGCGAGCGGGTCCTAACTTTTCCCCGGAAACGTCCATGAGCTTCATCCGTGGGCTGATGGGAGTCCACAAGGATGCGGACAAGTTCAAGCCTCCACTATACGTGCACGAAATCGAGGACGACGAGGACCTCCCGGAGAACTTCGACTCACGTGAGCAATGGCCGAATTGCCCCACCATTGGGGAGATCCGCGATCAGGGATCCTGTGGATCATGCTGGGCGTTCGGAGCCGTGGAAGCCATGTCCGATCGTATCTGCATTCACTCCGAAGGGAAGGTCCACTTCCGCGTTTCTGCTGAAGACTTGGTAGCTTGCTGTCACACGTGCGGTTTTGGATGCAATGGTGGATTCCCGGGCGCCGCCTGGAGCTACTGGGTCCGCAAGGGACTGGTCAGTGGCGGTCCGTTCGGATCGGATCAGGGTTGCCAACCGTACGCAATTGCACCGTGTGAACATCACGTCAATGGAACGCGTCCATCGTGCGAGGGTGAAGGCGGTAAGACTCCGAAGTGTGTCAAGAAGTGCCAAGCCAGCTACAATGTCCCCTACGCCAAGGATAAGCGGTACGGAAAGTCGTCCTACTCGATTGGCAGCCACGAACAGCAGATTCAGAAGGAAATTATGACCAATGGTCCGGTGGAGGCTGCCTTCACGGTTTACGAGGATCTGCTGAACTACAAGGAAGGTGTCTACCAGCACGTGACGGGCAAGATGCTCGGCGGTCATGCGATCCGTATGGTCGGCTGGGGTGTGGAGGAGGGAACCAAATACTGGCTGATTGCCAACTCGTGGAACAGCGACTGGGGCGATAATGGATTCTTCAAGATTCTGCGCGGAAAGGATCACCTGGGTATTGAGAGCTCTATCGCCGCTGGGTTGCCAAAGATTTAAGCACGCGGAAGGGTAAAGGTGAAACAGGTAACTTTACGAGACTTGAGGTAGCGAGTATTGCATCATTCCAGTTGAAAGGAGGGAGAGGGAGAATTATGGTTTTCCTAGTAGACATTATGAGGCTCATTTTTAGCGGTAGCAGTGCGGAGTTTCACTGGTTAATAAAGATCACATTAGATGATAATAGTAACCAATGTTTGTTTTGATCTTCAGAGAAATCCGTAAAGCATCTTTCTAGTGTTTAAAGGGCGGAGTACACGGCCAATGAGATTAACCCAAATTTGAGTTTAGTTTACTGATAAATTGCAAAAAGTGTAGCAACTCAGCGATGAGTAAATTTGCCTGTAGAAAACCTCTAAAATCTGCCGGAAGATGAGGAAAATTGACGAAAATTTTACTTAGTCTAGAAGTAGTACGAATAGACTGATTGAATCCAATCATGACTTTTCTCATATTCGGGATTTTTTCCTGGAAAAACTCAGGAAAATTTACTCAGACTTCGTGACATCTCATTGGCCGTGTAATTTGTATCGAAGAAGTAGTAACACTGATAGAAAAATCAGCCTCGGTCCCTGAGAAAAAGTATCGACTGCAGTGTACTCGAACAGAGGTGAGGTTTATGTATTTGCTAACAAATATGTAAGGTGTTTAAACTGTTGACCGGCAGATGGCAGAATTGATTTGAATAAGAAACACTTCCATTACGCCAGTGATGTCAATATTCCAGTTTAAACTGGATTCTTCCAGTTTTTTTTACAACATCCAGTCAAACAGTTAAATCTTAAAATCTTCCAGTTTTTTCAATTATTGTCCAGTTTTATCCAGTTTTTACATAGCCCCGTGTATAGAACTGGTTGTTTTACCCATTGATTGATGTATTTCCTTTTAGAATGCAAAAGCATGATTCCTATCCCCTCTAAGCCTCCTTAACTTCCCTTCGCTTATATTTATCTTGATAATGACAGTGAGTGGTGAAGATGGTGGCTGTATGGCTATCTCTTTTTGTCATGTGACCCGCGTTTTGCATAGAAAGAGATGCAGTTTTTCTCGAGGTTTTTCTTTGTTCGGTGGCTTATGCTGTGCTATAGACCTTTTTGACGTTAAATCGTCTTTCTCTATCTAGCACGCATGGATGAATCGGCGGTTTGTTTTCCCACTAATCTGTTTCCCTCTTGCTCGCACTCGTTCGATTTAAATGGTGCAGTAGTGTGCGCCGATTAAACGTCAAAAAGCTCTATGCAAGGTGCCATTCTCTATTTGCATTTGATGTGTCGATTTTCTGATATTTATTAAGCGATTCGACAGTTATTCCAAAGCATTTTGAAGTGATTTATCTAAGGTTTATCAATATGTTTCTTCTGAATCCGTGCTTGTTTAAGTGGTTTTGCATTCCCATGAATCGTAATTTCTGGAGTGTTGGAATGTTTCCGGCATTTGCCGAAGTAAATCCGAACATAACTGAAGTAATGTATCATTTTCCAATTTTTGAGTCAAATAACTTATGAATTTATGCAATGGTGTTGTGCAATACGAGTTTATAAAAATATTTGATTCAAACTAATCCCGCTTTAACGATCCGATTCACGTCTGGCCTTTTTTTAAGCCAACCCATGTTTTGAATATTTCCCTCCTTTGTCACCATTGTTGTTGATTTAGGCTACAAAAAATGTCCATTATATCATTAATCTCTTTTTATAATCATTTCAGTACTGAATGTGAATTCCACGAATTTCATTTTCAAGGACGTCTACATTGGCTTTTTGTGAACCTATCCTGTTTGTCAAATTTGGCGGTATTTTGTGAAAAATGCCGAAACGAAAAGCAGTTCCGAATGCAGGAAATTTACTTAAATACTTCAAAATCTTCGGTATGTTATCAGCTTTCCCTAATGCATAATTGAGTAGTAATATGATGATAGGCAATTTGCTCTTTGCAAACAATAATTGCAACTGCAATTATTATGAATTAGAACATCAGCTGGTAAAAGAGCTCTTAGTCTATCTTGTGCTCTGCCTGGCTTAGTTCTCATTAACTCCGCATTTGTAGTCATTCTTCAAAAAAGAAAATGCCTGTTCAAAAAGCATCGATTTCTAATCATTTTTGCGTGTTTATTATATTTTTAGGAGCCGAGTCTCAGGACAACCATACAAGCTCTCGTGATGATGATGTGAAAAAAGCTGAAGAAGCTAATAATGAGTCTCGTAATAATGACATAACATCTCGACAACATGATGACGATGAAAAACACTCTGGATTTTCTCGAAGGGTTCCAACCACTGGTAATCAACACCCAAGCAATTTTCTACCAGAGAAACAATCAACTGACCAGCCTTCACAGTTCACAGAAGAGGGTTGTGCATGGAAATTCGACGAACTAAATAACGGTACCAGCAGAAATGGTATACTTAACATTTTTTGGTCAAATAATTCAACAGCTAATGTTTGCGCACTTTTTAATAGGGGATGAAAATGGTTCTCAGGATGCATTCAGGTCTCGTGATGACTTTAAAAATATAGCTGGTTGCTCTCGATCGCTAACTAGAACTGAGGCGTTACTGACGAATCAATCAGTTAACAAAATTTCGATAGATATCACAAAGGATTTTCAGCACGATCAAAAGGAGACGGTCGATTATATTAGCGCTGATGATAGCGACTGCAACGATGAGTCAGAACTGGTAAAATAATCCTGCAATTTTTACTTTATTTTATAACAAGCCATTTATTTAATTATCGTAGGTGACTGTCGTGAAATCGTCGAAAAATCCAAAGAAAGCTGGTCAAAAATACTCCAAGGAATGGGAATTTAAACTTCCATGGCTGATTGCATCATCCTCGGACAATCATGCTGGTCATTGCACTATCTGCGACGTTGATATTAAGTGCTGGGCAGGAATAATTGATTTTCATAAGCATAGCGAGCGCAAAAAGCATCTACAGAAAGCAAAGGAAGTAAAAATTGTATCCAAAAGCATGAAGCATTACACGGGCGGTGAGTTAAATAGCAAAGCTCGCAACTCAGAGCTACAACTATGCGCTTGGGCTGCAGCAAACAATAAATCTGCGTCGGATATTAAGGCATTTGCTGCATGCTTGCCTATAATTTGTCCAGATTCCGAAATCGCTAGAACTATACGATTAGGCCGCACAAAAGCAACATCTATAATTACAAATGTGCTGGGAGAGGGTCAACTAGAAGATCTGAGCGAGCACTTGAAACATCATCCATTTAGCCTTATTGCGGACGAGTCTACCGACGTGTCGACAAAAAAATCATTGGTTCTAGTTGCACGGACTTTCTTTTGGAAACAAGACGCCCTACAAGTTCGAGATTGCTTTTACGATGTGATCGAAGTGACAGAGACTGACTCGCGAACCCTGTACGAGGAAGTTGTTTCCTCTTTTGAAAGAGCAGGGATACCATATCGCCAGAACTTGTTAGGTTGCGCTGCGGACGGTGCGTTAAACATGACCGGACCAGTGAAGTCTCTTGGAGCACTGCTTAATAAAGACTGTCCTTCTTTATTTATCCTTAAATGTGTTTGTCATAGTATGGCACTGTGCGCTGCTTATTCATGCAAACACATCCCTGACGAAGTTGAACAACTCTGTAAGGATATTTATTCGTACCTAAGTTGCAGTCCACTACGAAACAGTAAATTTAAAGACATACAGACGCTGCTGGAGTTAAAGCCCCTTAAGATGCTCCACCCGTCCGCAACTCGTTGGCTTTCCCTTGAAAGCGTGGTGAAACGGGTGTTGGAGCGCTACGAAGCATTAAGGATTTACTTCGGGTTTGTACAGAATGTGGATCAAGTAGAAAAAAACCGTGTTAAGACCATTTTTGATGGACTAAACAATCCTTGCACGAATCTTTATCTTACTTTCTTAACGTATGCTTTGAATCTAGTGAACAAAATTAACAAACTGTTTCAAAGTGAAACGTCCGAATTGCATGTTTTACATTCGACTATTACGCGGCTTTTTAAAACGGTTTTGGATAATTACTTTCGATCAGATTATATGAAATCGCTTCAAAATTTGAATGATGTGGAGTTCGATCAAAAAAACTATGTTGATTTAAATCAGGTTTATGTAGGAGCTGCAGCAGCACTTTTGATTGAAGAATATGTAAAAGAGAACAAAATCAATAGCAATGATTTGAATGAGTTCAGAACAAATATTATACGGTTCTATATTACCTTGTCTCATCAGATTTTAAAAAGATTTGATTTCAATCATCCGTTGATCAGCAATATGTCAATTCTTGATCCAAAAAATGTGCTGGATGGAAAACATTCCACCATTTTGCCCTTGATTCGCAGCATTCCAAATATTGTACATCCTTCCAAATATCAAGATACGGATGATGAGTTCCGGGAACTGAGGAACATAGATTTTGAAGATTTAGGTCAGGAGAAGGATGCTATATTATTCTGGGGCAAGATTTTGTCTTTAAAAACATATGATGATTCATATGCATTCCCAAATTTACGAGAATTAATCCCCAGATTATTGATATTGCCCCATTCATCAGCCACGGTTGAAAGAGTTTTTTCAACTTACAATATAAATAAAACCAAAATTCGGAACAGGCTGGGTACAAGCACAATGAAAGGTATTTTGGCTACAAAAAACTACGTTAGTTTCAATAGTGACAAATCGGGGTCTGTTAATATTAAACAGAATGTGAGGGCCAAATACAATTATAATATGTATGAAGCAACCAGAAAGGACGGCAGGGAGAAAGAAAACAAAGAGAATTAATGACTTTTAACTGTTAAGTTTTGTTTAATTGTTACAAATAAATATTTTTGTTTACAAAAGAAGTTTTCATTTTACATACGTATGATTCGCCAACGAAAGAAGTAAAACTTTCTGCTACTTTAGTATACTAAACACTCATTTTTCCATTTTGTTGGCTATCAAGTCAAAACTGCCTCAATTTTTATCTTTTCTGAGTACATCAACATTTGCTCATTTACAGTATTCAGTATTCGTCATATGGCCCCAATTTCCATCGTATGCGTTAAAACAATAAAAACAGAACACTTCAGCGAATTTACACGATCAGATTGTCTGTTTAATTGAAGACAAAACGCGTCAAAACCGTCCCAGCAATTAAACGATTTCTGTGACGTTTTCGGCGCGATTTGTTTCCAATGAATCAGAAAATAACGTTTT